ATTTGATGGTAACAATAAACCAATTCATCGTTATCATCATTATCATTATAGTTAATATCAATCAAATACATAGCATTTTGACACAACTTGTAGTATTTAATGAATAAAATTTAATTGCATTAAAAAAAATAGGTTTTTTTCAAAGATACAAAATGTTAAGTAATTCCACTGTTACATCTACAAGTAGAATGAAATACTGATAATGATACAAACTTATCATGAATATCATTAGACTTATTATTTTATTCCATTCCGATAAAATCAAACTGTTGCTAAATTCCATTTCCATATTCCAATAAGTTTGATAGGAAGTGCCAAATTTTTCATCAATTTGAAGAAATGTTATATTATAATTCAATTCTTATTAATTTTTGAATTGAAATTACTTAAACAAATAAAATCAATAATATCGATGTATGAAATTTGATAAAGCAACAAAATGATTATTATTATTATTATTATTATTATTATTATTATTATTATTATTATTAAATTATTATTATTATTATTGCTATTAATTACTATTATTATTTCTAGTAATTACTATTGTTAGTTATCATCACCACTAAATATATTCACTGATTATTATTACTTAATAATTGTTAATTCTTAGTAGTAATTATTAATGATTACCATTATTACTATTACTATTATTATATCTATCCGCGCAGTTCAACATTCTGTGATTTGAAAAGGTTGCATCGTTTTGTAATTAATTCATCCGAATTTCCATGTACCTTGCTTTTCCACCACTGGTTATTCGTAGTTGAGCAGTTAATCTGTTGGTGTCGGGATCTCTTGGTTAAATACATCGCTTTTAGTATATAGAGGTTGAAGTTGATCGAAATTAATAAAGAAAATATGATTTGCCTTTCTGATATCTCAATTCTTGCAAATTTGCATCTCAAAATTCAAGATAACTCGTAGTACCTTGGTTAATCTTGTTTATTGTACAACTCATGTTTCTGTATTTGCACAATTTTTGTTAGAAAATCTTATGAGCTTAGGATTTGATTGATTTCAGACTTAATGAAAAGATTTCATTCTGGACTGCTGTATCCTCTATTCTTTTTTCTCTTCTCTTTTTCAGCCTTTCTTTTGAGAGTCCTTAATAACTTTTTCGTTTTTTGTAAATTTTTGTAGCTCTGGAAAGTTAGATATTATTAACAGTTTCAGAAATGTCCCATGGTTACTGAAATCAATTTTGATACTCACTTTCCTGTCATATTCTTATTTGCGTATAAATTCATTTTTTCCGATATTTTTTCCAGCTGTGTTACATATGCATGTTACCCCTTTTAAAGGTATCATGTGTTAATCCATCCGGGTTTGTTGAGATTCAATAGATAAATCAATTTTGTGATTGGTAAATCGGTGGTTTTCATTCAGTGCACAGGTAATCATATGTGGTGAAGTTAGTGGCGCAGTTAATCCTAAAAGGTCATAAATTTGAAGAACTGAACTAAAGTGACCACATCAGTATGGTGAGACAATTGTCCATCCTGCTTATAACTTTCAGTGAACATCTAATTGAAGGTAACTGGTGCATTATTTATTCTAACAGACTTTTTTTTTTAAATCAATAGTTCTCACGAGCCACTGATTGCGCAGTTGCTGAGCGATGCACCATATGCTTCGCGTCAACAGCATTCAGTAGGCCGGAGTATTATCACAATATAAAATGATAAAGCACTGACTGCGACGACATTCTTATCACTCTATCTAGCTATCATTACAAGCTGACACTTTCTTTCATTTTCCACAAATTGCTCATCAATTATTCAGATTTCGACGCATATTTTTTGTTAATTTGACTAGAAGTCAAATTCAGGAAATTCAGATTTTGATTCGAAAATCTTTTAAGGAAATATTTCAATCCAAATTCGACTTTCGAGGATATAAGAAGCACTTTTTCCACCTCTCAAATTTTTAGCAAAAACTATTTTTGATCAATAATTTGTGCTACTCAACGTAAGGAAGTAACGGCTGCTTCCTGTGCAAGCGTAAAAGCATTTTAAGAAAAAAAAATGTCCTTTAATTCCAGTTGATTAGTTGATAAATGAGTGAGGAGGAAAGGAAAACCTTGCTTGGAAACGAGTGTGAAAGTACTAACAGTTATTCGGGAGATTCCCTAACTAAACATACGGTAATAAACCAGCCCTGTCAAGTTAATGTTTCTTTCTGGAAAAAAAGGCAGCGCAAAAAACTTCTCCATAAGGTTGTATTTCCTTCCAAATTTCAGTTTTTGTTTTGTTAACTAATTAACTATTTTGTTAATGTTCCTGTAATACAGCAACCTCTGCAAATTGAGATAATACAGGAATAAGTGCAGCATGTGATATATTTTTCTAAAAGAATGTACTGCTCTTTGTTTTCTTAACATGTGAATTTGTGATACAAATAAAAGAAAGGAGTATTATGCAGAAATCAATTATTAGTCCATAACTGGAATCTGAAAGCGATTACTTCAACCATTGACTAATCTGTAGAAATTGTAGTACAACGAACATCAGGAGCGTCTACAATCCTTATACCGCCATGATGAACAGCTTTTCACACATTATTTGCATGGAAACGCAGTGAAAACGCCGAATGACGAAGAGCAACGAAAAAGAAACATAAATAGGCTTTTGGCAGGAATAACTTTTGCAACTAATATTATTTTGTTGTTTGCCAATGGGCTTGCTTCGGTATTGTCCGGTTCTCTTTCCATTATCAGGTGCACTTTTTCAAAGATTTAAAACTGTTTGTAATCCCAAATGTCTCTAGGAATTCTGGAAATCTTGCAGTTGTTTAACTCACATCTTTTGCAGTTCTTAAAATTCAGAAATTTTCATGGAAATAATTAAAAATTTGCTTAACTTAGCACATTCCTGGATTCGGCTGTGGACTGTGTTAGTGGAGTATTAATTTATATTAGTACTTGGGCTATTAATAATACGGATACATTCAACTATCCACGAGGACGAGCACGCTTAGAGCTTATCATTGTTCTCATTTGTTCCGTCATTATGGGTGTCGCCAATATTATGATGATTATTCAGTCAATTGAATCAATTATCAAAAAGAGTGTGAGATGTGCTTCATTTCATAAATAATGATAAATTTCGAGCAAAAATACAAAAAAAAAAAAAAGAACGACCAGTTACCTTGCGATTTCTAATTTAGATCGATAATTAAGTGGCTGGAAAAAATCTCAATTTTCAATTTCATTACTCATTTCAAATTTTTCCAAATTTTCAATGCTTCACTTTTGACTTGTTTGAATTTGTCAGTTGATAGCTCAGTTTTAGCCAACATTATGACCTTTTGAAATACTGACAATCTTTGAAAAAATATCATTTGCAGATATACCCAAATGCAAGTGTAACTACGATTTGCATATTAATTAGCGCTTGTGTCATAAAAATATTGTTGATGATATTTTGCTATAAACACGGTACACCTGGCTCACTAGTTCGTTTTGCTTCTTCAAATTTCCACCTCAATTTAAGGACTGAAAATGGAAGTAGATTCACGAGAAACAAATTAGATCTGTTGGTAGTTAATCAAGAATTATATCTGTATGGTTGGGAAAATAACTATAACCTGTATAATCAGAAATAATGATGAAAGCATTTGCAGACATTAGCGATGGATCAGCGAAATGATATAATAACAAGTGGGGTTGCACTAATTAGTGCTTTTATTGGTGACAAATACTGGCTTTATGCAGACCCGATTGGAGCCATTTGTGTCTGGTGAAAATACTGTCTTTCCTGACTATAGTTCTTGGATTTCATTTTGTCTTTGTTAATCCTTTGCAAATTCTGCCGTTTATGACGTTTTTTTTGAAGCTGCTTATAATTTTTCCCTTTCATTCTGATTACACTTCCACTGTTTGTTATAATATTTAAAAGCTAAGTCTTTGCCTAAGAGTGTCGGATAGCTTGTTGCAGTACATTTGTGGCTTGGTCGTGGTTTTTCAATGCAGCAGACAATATTCCAATGTTGGTCGGCAAACGTAGTGATCAGGAGAATCTATCACGCATCATTCGGATCTGTGTGGAGCACGATGAGCACATCAAATGTCTGGATCATGTTATGGTTTATCACACTGGTTCCTTGGCCACAGTGGAAGTACACATTGTGCTAGATGATGATTTGCCGCTCAAAATCACTCACGATATCATCGAATCGCTCACAAAGAAAATTTCGGTTTTACCATTTGTTGAACGAGCATTCGTACATGGTGATTACCGTTGTGATGGTGACTGGGCTGCGTAAGTTTCTGTTCCTTCATTTCTACTTATATATATTTTTTGATTGACTAACTGCAAAAAAACATCTAATCTGCGGAGTTTGGAAGTTTGGAAAACGACATCGCCAACTATTATTGAAATTGTTATATTTATTTGTACGTTGTGATCAAACATCGTTAGAACTTCTCAAGTGATAGCAACAAGTTTAAATTGTCGTTGTGAATTTAGATAAGTCAAGTCTCTATTTTGTTTTCGTAGTTTTGCTTGAATCAGTTACTGCATGAAACATATTGAATTTCGGATCGGTTCGAAATTTCGTCATACTGAAATTTAAAATCTTTTGGAAATATAGAAAAATATGTTTTGCTGTTTCACTCCATATGTATCTGGCTCTTAATTTGTAGGTTATATGTTTTCTATCTGGTAATGCAAATATGATACTTTTGATAAAAAATCAGTTTTAGAGATGATGTAAATAATGTACTAGATCCAAGCAGGTTGTGATTGTGGTCACTTGAAATAATGATCTACCCAAATATTGAAGTGCTAATTCATCACTTTAATTAAAAATCTCAAAAATGAAGGATAACGGATTATACATTTCTCGAATAATTTTGGTTGATCAGTCACAGCATTAGCTTCATTAAATTAGACTCTTCTACGTTCGGAGTTCATCAAATGATTCTAATCTCAGACATCAGAAATTAGTTAATTCTAGTACCACGAAACAGAACAAGAATAAAATAGAAAAGTTTGCATCTTGAATTTTGAAACTCTATAATATACTCTTAGACGGCAAATCTGCGAAATGGGAAGGTGTAATTAACTTGCTACCAACGTTGATAGCATGTTTGAAAAAACACGAAATAATATTTGAAAGTTTAGTGGCCATAAATAAAAGCTACATGAAGAGTATTCTTCCGATCCAGTCCCATTTTTGCACCACTTAGTAACGGAAGAATTGTATTTTGTGGAATGACTGATATTGACATAAGTAGTTTGATTTGCGGTAGAAAAGGTAGAAAAGATGATAAGCAAAAATTGATGACAGGTCATTGAGTTCATTGAGTCTTTTTCATAAGGTTCAATGGTAATAAAAGAAATCTTTTTTTAAGCATTACTTTTTTCTTTTGAGAGAAGAGGAAGATGCTATGCTATAAAAAAAAAAAATGAAAAAAATCATATCTTAGAAAGTATATGTGTAAAATAAAAGAAGTAAATGGAAGTACGAGAATTACACCTACCAAAAAGATAAATTAGAGTGCATAATAAATTTTCTTGTATGCCTATAACTTGAGTAGCCAAATTGACACTGTAACTCTGTCTCGGATAACTCATTTTTGAATTCTGTAAATTATTTGAAGTCAAACACATCAACGACTACTGAAGATGTCACAAGTGAATTATAAAAGCACACATAATTTTTGCATTATAAGAGAAGTGATGAGAAGACCAGAGAAAATCTCTTATGATTTCCGAACAAACTTCTAAACAGGGACATTGCGGACATCGGACCTTTCAAATGCAGACTAATCATATATCATTAATCATCTCATTTCAGCACTTCAAGCAAACAAGTGCTAAAAACTCAAGTAGATTTTATCGTTCAATGAATATAAATTTATTTTTGAATACTTCTATTACGACTATCAAAAGTCGCGAATGATGCTGTACACTAAAAAGACATTTTGCAGTTCAAGAAATCCGTTTCTATAATTGGGAAGTTTTCCTTTTTAATATTAAATCCAGAAGCGGGAACTTTCCGCTTATAGGCTTAAACTTTGATGCCATTTTTCTTTTCCCATTCCACATCTTTTTCTTTATTCACTCATCCAGCACGCTCCCCGTCCAGCTTAGCTACTTCAGCTCAAACTGCAAACATAATCTGACGAAAAGTATCGCAATAAGTTTTTAATTACTCAACTCATTATTAGTTGTGGTCATCACCGTGAAACATCGTGAGGTGGGAAACAAGGCGCATTACGTTGCGTTCGTGCGACACACAATTCAGACCTAACTTGAAGCCAATTAGGTGCAACGGTTAATCTCAATTTTAATCATTGAATGCTTATAAACGTTACTAACCAACTGCTATCGTATAATAGTGATTTTGCTTGCTGATTTGTTTGATAAAGTTTTTTTTATTATATTCCTAAACATAATCTTTTCATTCATTTTCGGGTAAACGATCTACCTCCTCTCTTTTTTCAAATGGATATTACTTGCTCTCAAAAGGAACAAAAATATAAATGTAAGCGCAAACATCGTAGTAATTACCTTTCATTGTTTTCCGTATAAATGCCTCAACTGTTCAAGTCAAAAAAAAAGAAACATTTTCTTCCTACAGTACAAAACTAGTGATTTGCTGTCAGTTTAATGCACTATTTTAAGAATATCGACTAGAAAGGTCATTTTCATCCCAAGCTAACAGCCTCTTTCAGTAGAGTCAAGAAAAAGTTTTTGAAAAAGCCCCTCAATTTTTCTGAAAATCCTTCAAAAGTTTTTCATCCAGCAAACTAATTTTGTTGCCCCATATTAACCCTTTTCATAAGGACAATAGAGAAATTATCTCTAGAAAATGGACAATGAATTCAGAAAGGAATTACTGTGAAAGCAATGAAGACAGTTGTTGTAGAGTGGCAATAGAAGACAGAAAAAAAAAAAAAGAATTGGAAATAATAAAGAACACTATACATAACGTGTACAAGACGAAAAACACTATAACTGTATATTCAAATCATAAAGTAAATAAATAACGTACGATAAGACCACCATTCCATAAATCGTATCAATTAATGATTGATGAACAAAAAGTACATCACGGAGTAGGTACTGCAGAATAGACATTAATTTTTGACCACTGGCAGGACAAATATAATGTAAAAGGACCACCAAGAAAAAAATGGGATTCGTTCAGATTTTCAATTTAAAACACCAAAAACTTGTGATGCAGTCGAAACAATTGCTCAATGATCAGACAACTAATAAACAAAAATTCAAGAATAACTATGAATTCACCTCTGAAAATGTATTTTAATCAAACAAGTTTATCCAAAACTGATCTTCCTGCTAAAGGAGACTGAGAACCCATTTGATAAAATGAACAGTAATAGCAACGTCGCTTCATTTTACTCACCATTGAGTTTTTCAAAAATGCCTGAAAAACTGTTTTCAATAAATAAACGGCTACCAAAAAATTAATATTATATGCTAACAGCTAAAGGATAAATCACAGCAGCAACCAGAAAGTTCGCAGTTCGCACAACCGGAATATATTTGTTACATTAATTCATCCTTCGATTAAGAATTCATCCTTCGATTAAGCTAGCACTCCGTCAAAGAAAATGCATAAATCAAGGGGTATGCAAAAACCAACCAGTTGTGCACGAATTAAAGATAATTTCTTCCATATCTTCAAATAATGAATAATTCTATTATTTAAACGGCTTCAGCTTCATAAGTTGTAGCTATTCTACTGAGTGCCTTATCCATCGCCTGGGAAACTTTTCATCATCCTAGAAAGTACCTCAGGATACAATGAAGCACGGAGTTCTACACTGTAATTTAATAGTATTCATCAAGAGTATTCAACAAAACTGGTGATATTATAACAAGCGAAGTAGAATATAAAAAATTCGGAACATAACAAAGAATATCGTTGTGCAAAACAGAAAACAAATGAATAATAACAGCTCTACAGTTCGGGTTTTGCATCAGGAAGTTCTGGATATATGTCCAAATATGGGAATGCTTTTTGACATAGCTTTCGGGCAGTCTCTGCCAAATCATATCCTGCTTTATAATACAAAGTTTTAGGTGCATTGAATTTGAAACAGTTGTTAAATAACCGTCGAAGATCGGCAACAAACAGTCTTTCCTGCAAATAAAAATTATGAAATTAAGTGTAACGTTGAACTACCAAGTAATTGACAGTATTATAATTTAACATAAAAAAATGTTAAGTCATTGCAAAAAGTTCGCTATTACGTAATTATGATGCAATAAAAGACTTACATGCACATAATACTTCGCTCTACAGCGCTCATTTATTGTTTTCAAATCAGTAGGAAATTTAATGTAACCATAGTATTCCGGAACTTCCTCCGCATTTACTGGTTTTAGAAATGGCCATGACGATTTATCAGCCCGCAATTTATGAAGTATGCTTCGAATTTTGTGCTGAAGTTCTTCATGTGGCACTGACTCATCTTTACATTGTTCTAACCCAGGCAACTCGGCATATGGAACTAACGATCCTTCTGAAAATTATTTTTGAAAGTAGAATTAGTAAAGAATGACGTTGAATATTCTGTAACCTTTTTTTTTGCCGTAATTTTCAAAATCATAACGTGTTAGATGGAATAGCTGCTTACAATAACGACCGCACTCATTGTTTTAAAATCCAGATCACAGTGATGACTAAGCAACACATATATCAACAAAGCCATGATAATTTGTGACTCGAGCATAAACTATAGACAAAACACATGAAAACTAACCATGCCACTGGAAGACGTTTTCAACTCCTGGACATTTTTTCTCTTCCTCGAAAAAACTTTCTTTCACGGCATTTCGATAAACATCGTGAAGGCGTTTCAAACATACCGCAAAGTTTGTATAAACTATCCTGAAGATCATGTATAATTCCATGATTTTTTTTAAGAATCAAATTTCCGTTCCATAATAATATTTTCAGTAAAATATATTAGTTCATGAAATGTTCGTACAGTGTTATACCATGGATGTAATTGGCAGCCCATTAACGTTGCCCCTTCATAGTCTTTGATGTAACCATGATACTGCTTTTTGTCCATTGCTATTTTTTCGGAAAAGCCTTGTTTTTTGAAGTAACCAACAGCAAATTCATCTGCATATGTCAAGAAGTGATATATATGACAAGCTTCCACATGATAATCTTTCAAATGATTCATCAAACGAGTACCATAACCTTTTACCTAAAAGTTCGACTCCTTTATTACCAAAAAATAACAAAAACATTATCGAACAACCAATGAAACAACCTGTTCATTTGCAGTTACAGCGCAAAATACGATTTCGATAAACCCTTGTGCTGGAAATTGCCTAAAGCAAATACCTCCAATTACACCTCGCCCTGAAAATGAATTAAATGTCCTGAAATGTTCAAAGGGAAGAATTATCAAAACACAGATAAAAAGGATATAATGGCCATGATATCCCTAATTTAAAATTTGTTAATACTACGACCTTTTTTGACGATGACCAAATTTTTGTGACGATTATCGAAAACAAGCCTCGTGATATACTCTTTAGGCATGCGAGGCAGTTGTGTACTAAACAAACATTGCAGCTGCAATAACCATGCCAGCTTTTGACGGCTCTGATCCGTGTCGAAATTATTTGAAATTACATGAAAAGAAATGATACCATTACATTCCTGAAATTTTTACAAATCTTCAAATCCAAGTGCGTCGAAATTATTTGAAATTACATGAAAAGAATTGACACCATTACATTCCTGAAATTTTTACAAATCTTCAAATCCATATGCCAGTATTCAAACATTTCTTAATCTCTAATTAGATGTCAAGCCTGCATGACTGCTTGTAAAAATTAACATTTTTTACTGAAGCTCAGAGTAAAGTTGAAGACTCAACAAAAAAAATCACAACAGATCATAAATAAGCCCAAACTACCTCCAATCGCGATACTTCACTCCTAGCAACGTCTACTTCAAAAGCATCCATTCTATGCACCAGAGGTTTCGATGTCCTATATGTCAATTCCATACGAGCAATTAATCGTACCATCAAAGACTCATCAACCTCACGTCCTATTTCAAGTTGCATACTTGAATTTGATTGTTCAGATTCTGAAATAACCAAAAGAGAAATCAAATGTAGAATTCAACCATTGAAAACACGCTGGTGAAACACTGTACACAAATCTATTTCATAACCATAACTTCGTGAAAAAATTAACAGTGAAATTAAAACAAAAGTTGCACGAAAAGAAAAACAACTTCGGAAGGACAAACCTGTTCCAAAAAAATTTGCAGTTATGTCTAGATGAGGCTCGACAACCCAAACGGAACATCCTCGTTTGAGAGTGGGGCGAGAAACTCCCTCAGGAAAAGTAAGTAATATAGATGAATCCGTCAGCGAGTCATTGCAACTCAAATTTTTTCTTAAGTCAGATGCAAAATCAATTAGTTTTCCGATGACCTGTAAAAAGTATCAAGGGCTAATATGAAAAAATAAGAATATGGTAACTTATGGTTTGTAAATACGCTTTTGATTTGATAATATGAAATCCGTTAAAACGAACCTGATCTTTGAAAAAATTAGCACGCTCTTTCACGTCACTTATAAAAAATGGAAGCAAAGTGATTAGAAATTTGCGACCAAAGATCTTAATAACACAATATAGTCGAAGAGATCCGTGCTTCTTGGGCAAGGAACAGAACCGCAACCACCTTGCATAGATGATACGATAAGATAACAGATTTGGACAGGACACTAAAACTTTGTAGATTAACCAACAAGAACTTTTCAATACCAGGGCAAATTTGAATAGAATGGAGGTAAACAACCTGTTTCTTCTGCTGTCAAATCTTCCAGATTCTCATTAATACGATATCGAAATAAACTACAAGAAGTTCATAACGAATATAATTAATTGCAATTGTTTTTTGGAAAATTAAGCATTCTTTCTCACATTTCTCTTGCAATAATCTTACAGGCGGTATGTTCCAGTCATTTACTGCACGTAAAAATTTGATGCTGTTTCTACAATATTTTCCAGTTCCCTGAAATTTGTTTCACATTGTTTTTACGGACAAAAAAAAAAAGTAGAAACCAGTTCAAAACTAAACAAATAAAAACAGCGACAAAAAAAGAATATGTTCTAAAGATAGAGATCATCCCCTCCTTATCTGTAAGAACTTGATAGAACGGAGTTAAAAAAAAGTGCAGCGAAAAGAGATTGCAAAGCACTGCCCTTCTCATATATCTTTTGGCACGAGAATATTTTTTTTCTTTACCGGGCTTAATAAGCAAATTAAAACATTACTTTTGTTTCCCACCGCTTTTGTTGACAACGAAATTCGAAACAATGTCTTCAATTGATACAGGCTCAAATGGTGGAAACCCAAACGAACATGTAATTGATCCTTCACAACTACCGCTGCTGATTTCTTTCGTTAAAGCTCTCTGAGTTTGCTGAACGACCTGCAAATACTAACATTTCCATCGTATCACCATCCAATGAACTTTGCTAAGTAAGGAATCTTTTTCCAAAGCTACATAAATCAGTGGGAGAGTAGTTAATGAATCAAACCATTTGAATCTTTAAAACAATAATAAAACCACTGGAATATTCCGAAAATTTATTCGCCACACCTGCAGAATTTCAGAAGACTCGTCTCCGATAAGCCTTTCCTGCATTTTCTCTGCATCTGACATCATCAACAATAACTTTTTAACATCATTTTTTTTCTTCTCTTGTAACCTGTCTAAATGTCTTCCTGTAAAGTACAATAAGTGATATCAGTTAGTCAAAGAAGTTAATAACAATTGCCCATATGTTTTATCAATCCGTCTCGCAGTGAAAATGCGGCTGCATGTCAAAACAATAATGCATTGGCATTTCAAAAGAGGCTCATCATGCCAACCGTCCCAATAATTTCATATCATAAAAAGCTGAGATTACAAAGTTGCTGCGCCAATTTGGTATTTTGCCTTTTATTTATTGAAATGAATATAAACAAACCAAGAGAGTGCTTGCATGTTTCGCAAGGTGTTGAGAAAAGAACGTCATCAAGAAAAGCACTGGTTATCACATAGGGATTCTCGCTATCACACATTAATTTCCAACCGCGACAATGACACAGAGAGCATCTCGTGTGCATCGCTAGTTTTTTCCAGCTTTTCTCATCTAACAACTCGTCTTCGGACAACAACTTCATGTCGCTACAACAGAATTAACGATTAAGATGGAAGTAGGATAGAACAAGATAAATAACGGAAACCAACAGACATCCCTTCGACCAAGAATTTCGGTCAGACACCTCAGTACTTCTCTTAAAAGAAGAAACCATAGGACAAGTCCGAGGTGAGGTGACCAGAAACCGTTACAGGACAATTTAACCACACTTGACGCGGCTATCGGTCACCTTGTTAACAGCAACAATTCTGCTGCAATTCCCACACAGATCTTTGGTAGGGATCCTTTGTACTGTGGGCTATATGACAAAAGGGTGACGAGTATTTCAGTGAAAATTGGCTATAGCTGGGGAAAGGGAGGGGGGGAGAGAGCTTTACTTCACTTCCAGATATTATTTGAGTTCAGATGTGACTAGTAAATTTCTGTTTGTACGCAGATTTATATATGAAGCTGAGCTATGGGTCTTCTGAAATTTCAAGAGATGGCGAGATGCAATAGTTAACTTTCTAGTTGGACTAGCAAAAATTACAGGCGCGAATGGAGCAAAATGGAATGAAAGCGAAGCTTGAAGTGGAGCTGATTAAAGACGATCCAGTAGAATCTCTGATTAAAAATGACAGTGCCGAGGAACTTATTACCCTAACTTTACCTACCCAAACGCGTCCTAACAAAAGGAAGCACATCAGGTTCCGCATTTTTCCATTATTTCTTTCAGAATCCGCTTCATAGTTCTCATGGTCTAAGACAGCCCAATTCGGTCTCTGACTGAATGGTCTTCAATCGTTTGAGTATTATGTAGCATCCAAAGATGGAACGTACTTTTTTTATATTTTAGGACAGATTTTGATGAAATAAAGGTGTCATCCGACGCAGCTGAGGCGCAAAGACGAGAAAAAGAGCGGCTAGAACGTCTGTCTAAAATATATGAATCGGAAGTCGGTGATTTGGTAGAAGTGCAGTGCAAAGGAAAATTGAATGCCGGTGAACATCCATATGTAAAGTTGGAGCCAATATCTAAGCGTTTGAAGACATCATCCTTGCCTGATGTAAAGCCTTCAACGTCTTTTATGGACTATGATGTAATAGAACTAAGTAGTGATGAGGATTCCGATGTCGACTGTCGTCCACTTGGTTTGTCTTGGAGCTTTGTGATTTTTTTTGCCATAAAATTTGCATAAGCATTTGTTGTTTGCGCAAATCTGCATATCTCAAATCTATATTACTCGGTTGTTTCCTGCCAGTGTATTATTCTACAAACCATAAATGATGTCGAGCGGACGTTATCGAAGTCGGAGTTACCGTGATTTTCATCCCTACGATGGGATTCTAGGAAGAAATAGAGGTAACTGTTCCGAAACAACGACTGCTAAAAATTTTCTCGTTACTTGTTGCCAAGTTTCTTATTTTTTTCGAAACACTTTGTCGCCAAAGTTTTCTCGGATGGGAACTTTTCAGATCTAATCCAACCACTGCCATTTCGTCGACGGTCATCGTTATACAGGGTGTGTTTTGTTGATTGCTTTTTTTCACTAAATTGTTGATTTAGCGCTTTGGAAAAATTCCTCATTGAAAAAGTGCAGGTACTGCACGAAGACGTGACCGATGAGCTGCATCGTGTTGAACGTGAAAGGCTATGTAAAAAGCTGCTTACGGAGGAGGAACTTGAAAGTAAGAAGTTAATGGGAGGTCGACTGCTTGTGAACCCAGGAAAGGCATCTGATGAACCCGATGTCTATGTCCCTTTTCATCTCAATGATGTGCTCCAGCCGCATCAGCTAGGAGGCATACGATTCATGTTGGTTCTTTTCCTTTTTATTTGATTAAAGGTTCTTGTCTAGATTTATTGTAGAAATGGATCTTCATCTCCAACCTTCCAATAGTAAAAGGATGGGAAAGACATAGGATGTTTTATAAAAAAAACTGAGTAGAACCGTAAACGGTGCGTGTGTTCTTTGATATATCCCAAAATGTGGATTACAGGTACGGAAATGTCATCGAAAGTTCGAAAGATTATGGGAAATCACCTGGTTTTGGTTGTATTTTGGCACATGCAATGGGGTTAGGAAAAACGATTCAGGTAATTATTTCAATCTAAAAAACTGCAAATTTTGAGAAATAATGTAACAAGCAGGTAATTTTTTCCAGATAATTGCGTTTACGGACATTTTTGTTCGCACGACGAATGCAAAAAAGATATTGATCATTGTGCCGGTAAATACGATACAGAATTGGTACTCTGAGTTTGAAAAATGGTTGCCTAAGTGAGTTCTTTCCATCGCTTTCATGAAATTATTTTAAGAATTCATTTTCTTTTTGGATTCCATTTCTTGTTTGCGTTCTTCTGTCTTTTTTGATATCTTCGGTTTTTTCTGTCTTGACTGAGTTAAAATTCAGTTGTTGTCCGTTTCATTTTGCTAATTTATTTTTTCTTTACGAGTTAATAACTCATGGTCTTGTTATATTCTCTCCTTACGTCATCATAATTTCGTAAGACCGAGATATGTGTCAGTTTTTAGGATGTATCGATGACCGTTTTTTTTTCTTTTTTAATAAAATTTTGAGGTAGAATTGTTTAAAAAATTCGGTTATGCGAATTGATCTATGTAACTCGAACCAGAAGTGAGAAATAATTGAGTACAAATCAAGTGATCTTTCAGCAACTTTTTATTTGCTATGAGTAATGGGTAGTGGAAATGAGTAAGCAGTGGATAAAAAAGTCTACAAAAGCTGTGTGTGGAAATCGTATTGATAAATTTTTTAGTCTGATTTTCACTTTGTATTAATCATTGCCCACTATAGCAACTGCAGATTATTTTACGGGCTGTCTTTTATCGTCATAGTTTTCCAGTTTATTGAAGTTAATTTCCAATAATTTTTTCCAGCATAGTCAATGAAGCCGGCGAAAACATACGTCCATTTGTAGTTTGGCTTCTGAATGATGCAGTAAAAACAAATGAACAGCGCGCAGAATTAATACGTTTGTTTTCAAATGCTTTAAATAAATCGACGTTAGAGGACGTAGGACAGTTTTGTTGTAATGAATTTTATAATGATATAAAAATTAGTTTTCGGTTATGAAATGCTGAAGAAAACATCAGCGACACAGTAACTGGTAAAGAGTAAATCTGTGAAGGAACATGGAAGTGCAGCAAAGTAACTGGTTGGGAAGTGGAAGTGTTTAGTGTGGTATGAGTTTTTCCTTTTTGGTTTTTAAAATGAAAGGGTTGTACTGTAGTGCTGATTTCAGCGACTCTTTTTTTCTCGTATGATGAGTTAAAGTTATGCACCGATTTTGATGGGATTTATTAATATTCAGAAAAATGGCACACAGAAGGAGGAGTTTTATTAATTGGTTATGATATGTTTCGTGTATTGGTACAAATAAAACCAAAAAAACGAGTTACTGGAAGACCCAACAAGAAAATAGAAGAAATCGTTGATCTGGAAAAGGAAGAGCTGGATGCAATAGCTTTATGCGGTAAGCTTTTATTTCTGTAAGATTGTTACTTTTTATTTCTAATTATTTCTAACCGCATTATTTCTAACCGATGTTAGGCTGCCAACTGACCATACTTTGCAGCCGCTCGAGAAGCTTTATTGGATCCTGGTCCTGATTTGGTCGTGTGTGACGAGGGTCATCGTATAAAAAACGAAAGAACAGGCATAGCAGCAGCTTTAAGTGCTATAAAGACAAGGTAATCTATAAAATATTCACAAGAGATAATAAAAAGTATATCACTAAAGAGACTAAGGTTGACAGCAGATCAATTTCTCCTAAAAAAGGGAAGAATGAAGTACTGGGATAATAATTTTAATACATGGCTTAAACCATAAAAGTTTGTTCCGTATTTCAATTTTTATTTGCAAAAGAAGCTGCAGTTTAAGGAAGTGTTTTGTAGATTATTAGCAAGTAAATGCATAATAAACATATTGCGTTTCCTAATGAGCCTAGACCGGTACACACAACCGTGCAGAGGCTTCCTAATAAGACTCAGTCATCAAATCAACCTATTATAAGCTGACTAATAAACTCTTAGTGGGTACTAATAAACTTTTAGTGGGTACTAAGGTAAATAAATGTTTGTAAACCTAATTTTGTGTACTGATATGAGATATTTCATGAGATACGAGATATCTGAGACTTTTCAGGATATGAGACTTTTTTTCAGGCGTCGGATTGTGTTAACGGGTTATCCCTTGCAGAACAATTTGATGGAATATTATTGTATGGTAGATTTTGTAAGACCTCATTACCTGGGTTCGAAGAAAGAATTCAGCGTTATGTTTGAAAAGCCAATAAAGAATGGGCTCTGTATTGATTCTACACCGTCGGATCTCAAAATCGCCCGTCAACGCACTCATATCCTTGTTGAATTACTGAAAGGATTTGTACAGCGGTACTAACTCAAATTGCAACATTTTGTTCTTTACGTTCTCAGCATCTATTTTGCAACATACAGAGAAGTAAAAAATTGCAGGCGAACACATCATTTGCTAAAAAATATCTTGCCGCCGAGTTACGAATTTGTTGTATTATTGCGTAAAAGCCCAATACAGAGAATGCTTTACCGAGCATTTCTGCAATATGCACAGAACGAAATTAGTGTTAGCGGAACTGCAGTCTTCAATCCGCTCAAGGCGTTCGCCGTTTGTTCAAAGGTTAATTTTTTCATTTGTGTGTAATTTTTTTGGTGTTCTTCATTTCTGAAATACACCATATTTTCTAAAAATTTCACTTACCAGTCTGGAATTTAAAAGATATCAGTAGCATAGCAATATGTTTATTAAAGATTTGGAATCATCCGGATATCTTATATGAAGTTTTTCAAAAAAGGAAAATTGAATATGAGAGTGAAATCAACGAAAAAAATGCGCAACTCATAGCAACAGAAGATGTCACCGATGATTTGACAGGTAAAGCGTGTTTTATTGATGGGTATTTGTAATCAGATTATACCCTTTGGTGTTCATTGTAAGATAAATCCAAAAATACTTCAGATACAGCTTTATCGCTTGCTTTAA